CCCCCCTCCTATGAGCCTTGCCTTGGGACTTTGAGTTCCCTCTGAGCTTGGACATTTGAGGGCTGGCCCTTCCACACTGAATTATAATCTAATTTTGCAATGATATTTGGGGGTGTAAGCATTGCCTGGAGTTATTGAAGCTCCTTGGAACTTTGACACATCCCAAATAAGAGAAAGGCTTTGGAAATCTGATCTTTGGAAGTTGGTTTATTTCATATTTCAGACCTGGGGTCTGAATTAGGCTCTCCTTTGTTGGAATATTTAATTTTTGATTTATTTTTTATCTTTTTCTTATTCATTCTGGTCTGTAATAATCTTGTAATAAACTGTTGGGGTGTTCGTGAAAAAGGGAGGGTCAGTCCTGCATGCAAAAGGGTAGATACCATGTTCATAGGGAATTACTATACTTCTGAAATTCTGCATCTCACGTAGATACCATGTTCATAAGGAATTCCTATACTTCTGAAATTTTGCATTTCATGTAGATACCATGTTCATAGGATTTTCTGCACTTCATATAGATACCATGTCTATAAGTCATTTTTGAAATTCTGCATATCATATAGGTAATATGCCTATAGGACTTCCTGCATTTTGCATATGCATTTGTCACTAGGCAAACCTGTTTATAAGATTTAAATAACTAACTGCATATAGATGACCTGCCTATAGGATTTCTGCATGGCAATAACAGCGCTTAAAATCAGTAACGCCTAGAAATCATGCCTATAAGAGCTGTCAACCAAACCTCAATCGTCAACTCGCATATAAGCCAAATATTAGTAGCAATAATGTTTAATGCCTGCAGATCTTAGTCCCTGTAATTGACAATTCTTTTTTCTGCAATCAGTTTACTTATTTATTTTTGAAGCTAATAGATATCATGCCTATAGGTTCTGTTTCACACCTAGGCAAGCTTTAGGGTAAAAACTATAATTGCATCAGTCTTTGATAATTACAACCAGCAGGCAGGCCTAATTCGGACTTCTTATCTGAAAATATGTGATAAATCAGCCTGCCTAAATGTCTAAGTTTAATTCAGACCTAATCAGTACGTGAAAGACGTGCTAAACTATATGATTTTCTCTGATTTAAGGAGGTTTATTTGAGCCATATCTGCTTACTTACTTACCCAATACTTGTTGTATATGTTTTGAATGTCGCCTTAGAATTTTATCCTCTTTAAAAAAAAACTGCAAAAGCCCCAGCTCCCTCCCCTTTAGGATTAGTAGTCCCATATGCCTCCGGGACTGATAGGATTGGGCCGGGTAATAGCATGCAATAAGTAACAATACTATTCCGCGCTTTAATACCTTAACGGGGTGGGAAGGGTAGATATGGAGATGATGACCGGTGCACTAATATCACGTGTGACCCGTCTTTTTTGAGGAGTGATTGCTGGGTATTGCATTGAAGTGATCCATATTAATCGTAAACCAAGACCCCCCTCCCCTTATTTGCTTTCATCTCTTCTCGTGAAACCGTTCAAATTTTTTTTTTCATAAATTTCTGTCCTCTCCACTTACCTTTAAAAGTTTTCAACCTAATTGCAATGTTGTATGCATGTCCTTATTTGAGCCTTGATTGTTTACTTGTAAAGTCATAATTGTAACATGGTCGGGACCACACTAGTGGATCTTGAGGGGTGCCTAACACCTTCCTCTCGAGATAATTTTTAGCCCTTACCCGAACTCTGGTTTTCCAACTCAAACCCTTCTCAAAGTGTCCTAATGCACTATAATCATTAGTTGGCAACTCTCCAATTCCAAAAAAACCATTTCTCGAAAGGGAATAGAGTTGTCCTCCCAATGTCGTATACCCGATTTTGACCCATAGAAAAAGGGGACGTCGACATGCCTCACCTCAATATAGCACTACGATATGCAAATCTGGGGTTTCAAACCCTCAGAACATCATTTACAATCATTACTCACCTCGAACCGGTCAAATCTCTAGCTTGCGACGCCTTTGCCCCTCGAATCGGCCTCCACTCGCGTCGAATCTATCAAAAATAAGAATGAGGATGTCAAAATATGCTAAGGGAACAAAGTGCAAAAAAAATAATCAAAATACGACACAAATCCCGAAATTACCAAAACCCGACCCCCGGGCCCACATCTCGGAATTCGATAATTTTACATCAAAAGATTCCTTATCTACCCATGAGTTCATACATATCAAAATTCATCCAATCCGACCCCAAATGGTCCTTCAAATCCCTAATTAAAGGTATAAGTTTCCAAACCCTAGTTTTCCCAATTTTCCACCCTTAATTTCCATAATTTCTAGATCTAATATATGAAATAATAGCATGGGAACGAGTTTTAGGTCCAAATTCCTTACCTCAATGAACTTCCCTTGAAATCTCCCTTTCAAATCGTTCAAAAAGCTCCCAAGACGAGATAAAAATGGCGAAATTAGCTTAAAATTCACGAAGACCACATTTAAGACTTTCTTCTCAGAACTTTTTGCATCTGTGGCCCAATACCCGCTTTTGCGGTATCGCATTTGCGGTTGTTTCTCCGCTTCTGCAAAAATCACTTAACTCACTATTTTTCGCATCTCCGATCCCTCATCCGCATCGGCGACATTGCAGATGCGGTCCATCTCACCGCTTCTGCGGTCCCTGAATCCATTAGAACTTTCCACTTTTGCGACCTCCCTCATCGCACTTGCGGTATCGCACCAGAAGCAGCAAATTCAACAGCTGCAACAAAATTTCAACTTCCCCGTTAACTATCCGAAATCACACCGAGGCCCCCAGTACCTCAACCAAAAGCAAAAATATATCCCAATACCTTATTCAAACTTGTTCCAATCATCAAAATACCTCAAACAACATCAAATCTCCCAAAACACGTCGGATTCAAGACATACTTTCTAAAAATCTCCCGGATTTCGTTTTTGATCAAAAACCCAACCAAACCACGTCCGAATGACCTGAAATTTTGCACACACATCTCAAATGACACAACGGAACTACTACAACTCTCTCAATTCCATTCTGACCCCTATATCAAAATCTTGCCTACCAACCGGAAATCTCCAAAATATCAATTTCGCCAATTCAAGCCTAAATCTACTACGAACCTCCAAAATTTATTCCGATCACTTTCCTAAGTCAAAAATCACCTCCCAAAGCTAACCGAACCATCGTAACTCACATCCAAGCCATCTACACATGATTCAACATCCAGTTGACTTTTCCAACTTAAACTCACTCTAAAGAGACTAAGTGTCTCAAACCTTGCCAAATCCTTTCCGAACTCTATCCGACCAACCCGATACCACATAACACGGATAAAAAAAGCATAACGAAGTATAAATAAAGAAAACAAAGTGGTAACGCATGAGATGACTGGCCGGGTCGTCACACTAACTATAGTTTAATAGTTCCACTGCTTTTAACACTTCCCCTCAAACTGAAGGCTTGAAGAGGTTCTTCAGTCCAAGCTTGTACAGTAGGTAGTCATGCTAGGTCTTTCCCATTATCTTTGTGAGCAAGTTTGCTAGCCGTTCCTTGGTGGACACATTCTTAGTTTTCATTATCCCTTGCCATATTCTTTCTCGAACAAAATGACAGTCTATATCAATATGTGTGGTTCTTCATGCAAGATGGGGTTAGCTATTATTTGAATTGCAACTTTTCTATCACACATAAGCTTAACTAGTGAGTGTAGCTAAATTCCAAGGTCCTTGAACAAACCAATTAGCCAAACTATCTCAGTAGTGCATAATGCCATACTTCTAAACTCAGCATCTGCAGAGCTTCTGGGCACAGTCTCCAATTTATTTGATTTTCATAAGATCAATGCATCACCAAACTTAACTACATAAGCTGTGACTGACCTCCTAGTTTGTAAGCAGGAACCTAGTCAGAGTCATAGTATGTAGACAACTGATTAGCATTATGTGCTGGCATAAAGAGCCATAGCCTAGGAGCCCCTTTAATGTACTTTACCACTCTCAAGGCTGCTTCCATGTGAGACACCTTGGGATTGTGCATGTACTGACTCAAGACTTGAACCACAAAAGCTAGGTCTGGTCTAGTCATAGTCAGGTAAAGTAGTCTCCCTACAAGCCTTTGATAAATGCCTGGATCCTTGAGTGTTGCATTTGTAGCTTTTGAGCTTCCTACACTTGCTACAACCTTGTCATACTCCTCAGAATTTAGCTTATGATTCAGCTCAAGGGGTGTTCCTGCAGGCTTAGCTCCCCCTAGCCCTGACTTAGAGATGAGTTCCAAAGCATAATTTCTTTGAGACATGGCTATACTTTTTTTGATCTAGAAAATTCAATGCCCAGAAAGAACTTCAGATCACCTAGATCTTTCATCTTAAAATTTCTCTGCAGATATAATTTTTGTCTGGTTCAGCAGTACTACATTGTTGCTTGAGATTAGTAGATCATCCAAATAAACCAACACCATAACTGCCCTTGTGTTTGGTGAACAGAGAGTAGTCAAAGGGGCTTTGCTAAAATCCCATGTGCAGTAAAGCCTCAGTTAGTTTCTTGTTCCATTGCCTATACAGGGCCTCGTATACTTTCAAGACCTTGAGAGACTCCCCCTATCTAGCAAACCCATCAGGAATCTGCATGTACACTTCTTCTAGGAGATCACCATCGAGAAAAGAATTGTGCACATCCATATAATAAATGACCCACTGTTTAGCTGCTTCTAAGGCAATAATGGTCCTGACTATTACTATCTTGGCAACAGGAGAAAATGTTTTAGTATAGTCAAGTCCCTCTTCTTAGCTATAGTCTTTGGCTTCCAGTCTGGCCTTGTACCTCTCAACTTCTCTTATAGCCTTGAACTTTATCTTGAAAATTCATTTGTACCTAATATGTGTTTTACCTGTAGGAAGGTCCACAATACTCCATGTGTGGTTCTATTCTAGGGCAGCTATTTCAAGTTTCATAACTTTAATCCACTTGGGGTTTGTAGATACTTCTATGAAGAATTTTGGTTATGTGAGAGAAGAGTAGGATGAGAGCATGTATATGAGCTGGTTTGAGAGTTCCATAGGACACACATAAGGAGATAGGGTATTTACAGGTATGAGATGTGACTGGTTGTGTCACATAATCTTGTAGCTATAATGGTTCTTTGCTAGGTCTTGATGATCTTGTAAGGTTCATAGAAGGAGGCTGTAAAGACTCTAGAACACAAGGCTCAACAGAAGAAGAGTAGCCTAAAGAAGCAGGTTCCTCTGAATGATGGGGAATATGTGGTGCATCAATTGGGAATGTGTCCATAGTTGGACTTTGAGATGAGGCAGGAGAGAAAGAATGATCATAAGGCTCTGGGAAAGACTACATTTATGTGGTAGAAGGTAGCAGGTCTAAAATCGGAAATATGGGAGTGCCGGTGGTTTGTAGATGCTTAAAAGGAAAATATGTTCTTTAAATACCACATTTCTATTCATAATAAAGGTTTTTGAGTGTAGATCATAGACCTTGTAGCACTTCTAAGTTGAAGAATAGCCCAGAAATGCTCCAGGTAATGCTCTTGAACCAAACATGTACAGTTCCTTGGGTAAGGTTGCATAGCACAAACAACCAAACACTCTAAGGTGTGAGAGTGATGGAGCATGCAAATAAAGCATCTTAAAAGGACATTTTCTACCAGTGACTCTTGAGGGAATTCTGTTGATCAAGTAAACAACCGTAGATACACACTCTCCCCATAATTTCAAAGGAATAGCATCCTAGAATCTCAGAGCTCTAGCCATCTCTAAGACTGTCCTGTGTCTCCTCTCAGCAACTCTATTCTGCAGAGGTGTGCAATTGTAGGTACTTTGATGAATAATGCCCATGGATCACAATAGATTGTATACTTAATAATTGAAGAATTCACTACCATGATAAGTTCTAAGAGTCTTAACTGATGCAGTGAACACATTCTTCATGTTTGTTAGGAAATCTTTCAGAATAACCATTATATCAGACTTAGAGACAAGTAAGAAAATCCAGGTAATCCTAGAATAGTCATCCACAATAGTAACAAAGAACCTTTTACAGTCATATGTTGGTACACTATAGGGCCCCATACATCACAATATAACAGTTCAAAACAGTATTAGAAGTAGTAGTACTCAGTTTATCAGGTAACTTTGTTTTCTTCACTAGAGGACATACAGTGCAGTGAGTGTGATTGTCCTTCAGGTTACTCAGTGATGTATACTTATTGATTACATCTATAGGTGCATGACCTAGATTTCTATTCCAAATTACACTAGAATAAAAGTATTCATTATCCATACAAGAAAGCTTATTCCCATATATAGTAGATTTATGTACATATTTCACCTCAGATACTTGTTGACGAGTTTTATTCCTTAGTTGAGTTGGGTCATGATTTAGTATACCACTTATTAATGACATACCTTGTAAAATGTACAGTACCTGATCCTCCTTACCAATCCCATTCACATGACCACTGTAAATATCCTGGAAGATACAAAAGTCAAGAAAAAATGCTACAACACATTGCAACTCCTTGGTCAGTTTAGACGCAGACAATATACTGTATTTAAACTCTTGTATGTACATCACACTACTGATATCCTGATAGTTAAACGCACTTTATTTTCCTACATGTGAAATAGAGGAAAGATTTCCTGTAGGCAAGTGAACATTACTTCCCTTTTGAGGTGGAACTAACTGATAGGAACTTAGCTCCTCTAATGGGGATGTCATATGGTTTGAAGCTCCAAAATCTATTATTCAATTGTGGTTAAAATGATTGGATAATAGAGCCATCAGTTTACCTACAGTTGTAGCTCTGGCAGAAAGACCTTCATGTGATCCCTTGTTCAATAGCTGAACTATCTGTTGATATTGCTCCTGAGTAAAGAAAGGATTGGTGCTTGTTGTTGAGTCTGAAATCCAGTTGGTGAAGTCATCATCTGTATTTGCTGAGGCACATGCTGAAATCCAGGTGATAAAGGCACTTGCATATGTTGTTGTCCACATGTTATTCCTTCTCCACTGCCCTGTAATCCTCCAAATTGCATATGAGTATTTTGCATAGTAGGGTTGTAGTTAGGAGCAGTGTTGTCATGATTGGCATATGCTCCAGAGTGCCCCCTTTCTTCTTTGTCTTGAAATTAGACTTAAAGTCTTGATGATATCCTATTAACTAGAAACAATTTTCCTTGGTATGACCTTTGTAGTTGTAAAACTCAAATAACATTGTCTTATTCTGAGCTCTGAACTATCCATTCCCTAGGGTTGGATTTTTGTTGCCATACAGAGCAGTGCTATCAAAAACCTCTATCATTTGCTCCATTTGAGTGACGTTTTCCAAATTCCTTTGGATTTCAACATCTATAAGAAGAAAATATGCCTTGTTAATACTAGGCACTGGTGTCATCATCATGATTTAGCTTCAAACTTGAAAGTAAGTATCATTCAGTCCTATGAGAAACTGAAGTAAACTATGATGCTCAAAATGCTCAACATATTTCTTTGACTCTCGAAAGGGACAACCAGGATAGGGCATCAAATTCATATTATAGATCCCTTAGTTTAGAGAAGTAATCAGCCACATTCATTGTTCCTTGTGTTAGTGTATGAATCTCTCTATGCAGGTATAGAACCCTAGATCCATTTACTTTATCAAACCTCTCCTTCTGATCTTCCCACAACTTATGAGCATTATAGGCATACACTATACTACTTAACAGCCCTGGGCACACAATATTCATAATCCAAGAGAGTATTACAACATTTACCTTTTCCTATTGCTCATGAAATTCAGGTTCAAACTTACATTTTGGATATCAACCATTCATAAAACCTAGTTTGCTTTTACCTAATAGACCCATTCTTATAGTTCGACTCCACAAAGCATAATAGAAATGAGCGAGCTACCTAGTGTATCAGTCGGTTGAAGGAAGAGAGGATGATTATGATCAATTGTGGGGAAAACAACAGGTGCTACTGGTGCATTCACATGTCGTGATGTGCTCTCGTTAGTTTTGTCTCCAATATCCATTGATGAAACTTTTTCAGTTGATTAAATTGCAAACACTAGCTCAGGGGTGTTGTTACTTTCAGACACTTCAGAATCTTAACTGAATCGCAGTAACACACATACACACAATTGAGCAAGGAATTAGATTGAGATCATCATCAGGAGTTCTGATACCATGTAAGATTCCATGGGTATGGATGCTCTTAGCTGAAAGCGTGACTTGGAGGTGAAGCTAAGAAGGAACCCAGAGAACGCAGAGTTACTGTTTTATTGAGGAAGAGAAGGAAATGAATAGTGTTTACAAAGAAGTATCTACAGTGTATTTATACTACTAATTAACTACTAACTTCCTAACAACCTTTCTAGCTAATCTAACTAATAAGATTAGCTAACTCTACTCTTAACCACCTAAGCTAACTATAGTTTAATAGTTCCACTTCTTTTAACATACCATTATCAAGTTATGTTATACAAAGAAAAAGGGGAGAGGGAGTTTGGCATTTCCGAAATGTAATAGAACAACATGGCCCATTTTTTCTCAATGATCATTACTTTGATATGAAGGTAGCTCAAACTATTGTAACTCCATGTAAAACAAGTAAATACAGATTAGATGCATAAATTGTTTGAAAGTTACTGTTGTTTTATTAATTCTTTGAAAACTATCTATAAAGCAATTAAGTAATACATGATATTGACTACAAATACTTTCACATGCATCATAAATGCCAAAATCATACTGCATACATAATACATGTTGAATCTCGTCTCAGTAAAAAATTTGCCTCTATAACTGGAATTTGCAATAGATAGGACTACTTATATGTTGAAATATGGAATATTCATGAAAAGGGTGGACAAGCAGTCAAGCATATTTGATATCATAATTGTTAGAACAACTAACTTTATGATAAATACATTAGAAGACATTAGAACAACAACCTTCCAAAGATTAATGCCAAAAATTCAATAGATCAGTTACAACCAGTCATCAATCAATATACTTAACCTTCTGAATCTCTTTTTTCTTGAAACGGCATTTCTCATACTAAAAGTTGTTGACCTGAACCGCGTCACTACTAAAATTTTATTATCAGTGGCGACTATTAAGGTCGCCCCAAAAGATATACTCTCATTGTCTCAATTTATGAAATACTTTTTGCTTTTCTAAATCTAGTTTGACTAATCATCGAAGCTAAATTGGATTAGATCAACTAAATAGTTTAAAACTAAAATTTAGATATCCATAAACTATACAAAAAGTACTTTAAGTTGTAGTTTTTCTC